CAGCAGGAGCAGGGGTCTCAACACGCTCTTCCATGTACAAAGGACCAAAGACTTGGTACCAGTCTTTAACACATAAGGCTCCCTCAACATGTCGAGGTGCAAGACTAACTTGCTGGGGTGCCAATATTTGTTTAGCCTTGGTAATCACCCCCTCCAAAGGACAGCTAGTTGCTGGAATCGCCAAAAAACTCATGGCCATGTTGGCCAAACTAGGATAGATGTTGATGTGCTCTTTCCAAAAATCTAACACAACCTTGTCACGCCTTTTGAGCTTTTTGCCAAGGTATTGGTGGAGTTCGGAGTCAATTGAGTGTTCGGCAATAGAGTCTCGGTTGCCAAAGATAGCATCTTCAAAGTATTGTGAAGTATAAGTTGTTGATTTTTGTTTTCTGGTGATAGTTGCGGTGGGGGTTGGGCATTTGACCTTGTACCAACATCCGTCCGGCCCGCTATGAGCCGCTATATTATCAGATTTTCATAGTGGAGCGTTCGGGCGCTATGTAGCGACCCGCTATTTGCCACTATCATACCTATTAGTAGGGCCTTTGGGGATAGCGGGTCGCCCAAGGCGATATAGGCACGCCGCTATGTGATATTTAGCGCTCCAGAGCGCTCTGAACGAACGCCGTTATGGAGCGCTGTGGCACCAAATCGTAGCGCTACAGGGTTTTATTATTTGATATTAAAGGAGGTATTTAAAGAAAGACAAAGATTATATCGTAATTAGGAAAAGAGATATTGAAGAATGAGAAAAAGCATATTAAAGTGTAATTAATAGAATGAGAAGAACAAAACGATACAGGATGTATTAATGAACATATTGGAAGAGAAAGTCAAAGAAAAGTGAGCAACTACGTCTTTTTCTTTTCAGTACTCCTAAACATTTCCTCTTGAATGAGGGCCCACGCCTCCTTAAAGTCACCTTGTGGCTTCACAATTTGTGATTTCAACCACAATCGACACCCCACAGCACGCTCCATTTGCTTCGGAGCCATCACACCACGCTGAGTAGTGCAGACATCTGCTGCAGAAGAGAAATCTCTCTCAACTGTACATGAAGTACCTGCACAACCCAGGGCATCGCATGCAATCTTGGAGAGAACAGGATACAAACGGGCATGTTCCTGTATATATGAAGTAAAGCAGTAGTCAGTAAGTTTCGTTTTGTATCTAAGAAAGAAAGACAAGTGAGGAAATCCATACATTCCACCAGTCGAGCATGGTAGTCTTTGGATCTGAGCAATCA